AGCCAATTACTGTCTACAGCGACGACATTAGTGATTACATGGGAAAATTGACTCAAAGGGATTAGGTGCAATTATTCAGTATTCACGTGTATATCATTATTAGTCTATGATACAGTCGCGCCGCGAGATGCCTTCACTGTCCTGACTAACGTGGCTTCTATCCGTGCTGACGATCGTACTAGTTGGAGTGAGTTCTACCTGTAGGTCACGTTTAGAACGGATAATCGAGACTCAATTACATTTGGAATGTGATGCTTACCGAGTTCGCTGCAGATTTTCAGTTCCAGCTTATATACTTCTTCGAATGCGTGCTCGTGGTGAACACAGAAACAATTGTCAAGCATCGCCCAGACGGTGCAGTTTGCGACACAAGCCTATAATGTAGAAGCGCGAACGCTCGCTGCTAATAATTGAAGTCATGTACGTGCGTATGTCCATGCGTTGAATGGTAAACAACAAATTTAGCCATGGCGAATAAAATAACTTGATAAATGCGAAGAGAAATTACATTCGCTAAAAAGATTATCCAAATGTAAAATTATCCGTTGTATTCTTTTTGCTCAATCCTGTCATATATATTAATGGTAGAATATGAAAATGTCGGACCGATACGAATAACATCATAAGTAGATAATAGGGAATTATCTACTTCTGATAACATGCAGGTAATACAATGAAAGCAGCTGTGAAGTAGTACAAATAGATGTGCGAATTTGCACGGCAGTTATAGGTTGTTATACCTTAATATTGTATGTGTTGTTGGGAAATATGTTTCGATCCTTGCCTTCGAAATTTTTCGAGCGGCACTTTGTGATATAGGGATCCGGCAATCTATGATTCATTGTCTATAGTAAAATAGATGTTAGTGTAACCATAGGTTAACATTCATGCACCCGGCAGATAGATACGATATGATATGACTACTAGGCACTTAGGATATGACTACTAGGCACTTAAAAAAAACACCCTAACCCTAACCCTAACCCTAACCCTAACCCCCCCCCAAAAAAAAGTATATTAAATTAAAGTGCCTAGTAGTCATATCATATCGCATCTTTCTGCCAACACCAACATTCATTGCATCGTTGCAGGTCGTAAACCTTTACACTTACAAATTCGTAAAATGGTGGCAATGTTGGTGACTCATTCACCACCTTCTAATTTGCATCGGTCGGTCCATTTTGCAGAGATAAGCATA